TCCGACCCTGTGAAGGTGCTTGAGCCAGTGGAACGACCAATCCCGCGCATGTCGAAAGTGATACAGTTGAATCCCTCTCTAAAATGAAATCAATAAACTAGAGCTGGTCACAGCAGAAGACGGTACCGTTCAGAGAGCATCTTAGCTAGCGAGGCCATGTTTGCTTGCGAACCACCCATTTTCCCCCACGGATGCACGAGTATGATGAAGACACTCTCCCTACCTGATAAGTGGAGTATTTGGACGCGGACTTGACACCGATGATTACCCTCAGCGTGTGATCGCGGAGCCCAGATGATTCCCGCTAGCTCACAGCCATCTGCTGTGTTCACAGTAATCGATGTCCGCTGGACAGGTGTATAATCAACAATTTTATTAGCAGAAACAGCCTCTCGCGAAGCCTCAGTCATATTGAATGAGATATACTACGGCAGAGGATAGTCAGGCAATCTAGAGGGACAGCTGTGGACGGAATCATAAGCAACACTCTCAGGCTTCCGACTTGCAGAACGACGTACTGTTAACAACACTCAGTTCGTAGTTGCTGCAACTCACATATTCGGAAATGCACGCATGCACATCAGTAAACTCAACCGATGCAACGCTTGAACCACGATGATGTTGGATATTGATGGTGTAGACTATAAGCAATCCTGAATTATGGCGTCTCAAATTGAACTACGGTTCTCGACAGAAACTAGCTTTCGAAAATGTAGCGCACTTTGTGTCGGTCTGTCTCCGTGAGAAGTGGCTGTGGAACCATAGATACTCTTGGGTTATCCTGAATCCATGGGAGGAGCAACTGATCACGAGTAATCTATATTTGAACTCTCCAGTCTAGTGAGTCGAACTACACCTTTCAAACATGTAGTTCGCCCTAAAAACCATCAATTCCATCGGGACACGCGAACATGGAGGTACGAATCCAAACGGAAAGATTATATACGCTTTTAGAGCTTTCAAATTCGTCATAGAACGGTTCTACTAGAACATTCAAGTTCATCTGAGGCCTATAGGAAGTTCAAGTTCGGGGTAATAGGACGTTCGATTTCGAGTCTCAGGATTCCAGATTCTGGATGCCGAACGTCACGAAGACCTTCCCGGTAGGAGTTTTCAATCATAACGAATTGTTATTAAAAATTCCTCATCATAGGAATGTGCTCTCATGAAATGCAGCACAATTGCTCCGATATCTGATATCGGAGAATTATATCGAGACTATCAGCCCGGTATGATATCGGATATCATATGGGCTGATATTCCCGGCGATAAGCCTCAAATCTCCAGTTCTTGAGCGATGCCTCAGTAAGAAGTGATGCCCTTCACAGTTGTGAACTGTCCGTTATTGACGAAAATCTCAACCCATGTAAATATGGACTAGTGGTATTCCTTGGAAGTGTGATGGGTTACGGGTTAGTGATAAGTGTGAATGAATGGACACAATGCTAGAAAGCAGAATGGCCGGTTATAATAACAAACAAGAGTCCAACGCTCCACAAACAAACCGAAGATGAGAGTCTTGCGCTTGATGGCTGCCTTGGAGGGGTGGTCGGCTGACCAAGGCCTTCATTGACTGCGTTCAACGCATCCAATTCCCCCAAATTTTGCAAAGAGAGCGCATTTCTAAGGCTAGCAGTTCGAGACCGTGTTATAGAGTCAGTGATGCTCTGCCCTGCCAAGCCCAATGTGGCAAGCACGGCCGCAACACCCGCAACTTGAGGCGTAGCCATCGATGTACCACTGAGAAAAGCGTACGAGCCCGAGAGGTACGTCGAAAGGATATTCACGCCAGGGGCGACAATATTAACCACAGAACCGATGTTCGAGAAGGAGGCGAGGGATACAGGCGAGGTCGGTGTCGAAGAACTCGCGCCAACGCAGAGCATAGAAGGAATCGACCTTGAGTACGAGCAAGGATAGGTTGGGGTCTCATCCAGGTTTATTCCATCATTCCCAGAAGCAGCAACTACAACATGGCCAGCGTTAGCAGCAATTCGGATCGCATTTTCGAAGATCCGGCTTGGCACATTACCGCCATACGAATGTGAGGACACTGCAGCACCCATCCTGACTGCATAATCGAGAGCATTCAATGCGCCACTGAGAGGACCGTTGCCATCACTACCCATGAATTTCAGGATCATGAGTTTCACGTCTGCAACACCAGCGATACCAATACTATTATTAGTCTGAGCGCCAGCTATTCCAGCAACGTGAGTGCCGTGGCCGTTTTCATCATTAACGTTGGTATTACCATCTAGGAAGTTAAACCCGATAGAACCATCGTCTGGATTTTTCCAGAACTGATTGATCAGATCCGGATGGGATACATCAACTCCGCTGTCCACGATTGCCAATACGACGTTTCGCAAGCCTCGGCTGACTGAGCGAACTGCTTCCTGAGCACCTCTGAATCTAATGATCTCGAGGTTACCCTGACACGAAGAGCCGGGGTCATTGGTGCCGAGAAGAGGATTACCGCCGGTACAACGGGCTACTTGTCCTTCTGAAGCTGTGGTCCTCCCGGCGAGAGGGGCAATTGAAACGTCGGAGTCGGGCTCACAGTCAACCTCAATGCCGAGCATGCCCTTGGCCTTCAGCAGATAATCCTTCATCTGCTTGGGACTCGCTTCGCACTTCGAATCCACAATCTGGACTCCTAGGACCGACAGGTCGCGGACCAGACCGTCCTGTGCAAGGCATCGTTCACACCGACTGTCACCTTCGCTGAGGAAGCGTGTCCTCCCATCAGCGGCAGCGACGGCTTGCGCCATCATCTTCGGTACATGACGAACATCTAGAGGGACTCCACGATGAGATATCATAACAAGCGTGTGATTCGTCGTGCTCTCACCGGAGGATAGGAGATACAAAAAGAATAATAGGGATTCCAAGAACATAGCAACCATACTTTGTGGTAAAAAAACTAAGAACAGAGTATAAGAGTGCCGTCAAGTCGTGCTGACGAATTTGTCAAAAGTATCAGGTGAGCCAAGCAGGAGTGTGCGCATGCGTGCAACTACGCACGCATACTATGCGTCGCCTAGTCATATGCAGTGGTCAGAATCTGCAGACAAACATTCCATAATGAGTCATCGTTATTGGGCTCAATTTGGGCCACTCGAACGTCTTCTGAACTTACAGTACGGACAGCAACCGTCGACTGCCCTGCGAAATTCCCAGTGAGAATAACGCTGATTGAGATTCCGCAATCTAGTCAGTAAGAGCAAAGAGGTCCTTTCACGAAGTGACTGAGATGTGCACGCGTGCCGGTGACACCGAACCGTGGGAGGAGGATCTGTCCGCTCTTGTGGGCCAGTCTGTTAGCTGTATATATCGATTGTTCGTTATATGTAGATCGACTCCGTTCGGCATCGTCAGTCGAACTGACGAACTGGCCCAGTTCGACTGTGCAGTCCTGCCTGTGCCAA